CAGTAGTTAATTTCTTTTATTTATATAGGTTTTTAACAAGACATTCACTATTAGCGAAGAAAAGTATCAAAGACTATTTAACAGAAAGTCTCACCCAATTGTAAGTAAGGGTTGCAAACATCATTAAGGATCATATTGGCATATTCCTCAACCATAATATAACCAGTATGTAGGGGATTGTCACAGTTCCATGTTTTGTTAAGGCTGTTTCTGTTATTTTTCCTGCACTCGGAGAAATAAGCCTCGGAGAAAGGGATGTTGCTATCCCACAGAGTTAGCTTTGTAGTGGAGATGATGGATCTGAGGTAATTGTTGTATCTCTCGATATTTTGGTTGGAGTAGATGCCTTGGTACTCACTGTAGATATGAGATTCCTGTAGAAAGACATTTACAAAAATTAATGCAGAATATTGTATTGTTAATCAGATATATAATGATGTTATATTACTAATAAGATAAGTCTCCTACCTGAATGTGATCTTGCAGTTGAATGACTATATGAGAAGAAGCTGCCAGCTGGTCCAACTGTGGAATGAAGGTTTTCATATGTTCCTGAAAGTCTTCCATGGCAGCTTCAGGTCCACTGGCTCTGTATTTGTCCAGATTACCTTTCATCCAATGTAAACTTGTACCTGTGTTATTGGAAGTGGCTATTTATTGTTAATTCTTGATGTCATAATAATTTAATTCATGAGGATTATTAGAAAAGAAATATGTGGTTAATTGACTAAACTCACGGTAATAATTAATTTAAACAAGAAAGTAATTAATTTTAGATATGGTCACTTATACCATTCCATCGTAAATTGAGAAAACCCACCCAAGACCAGAAGTGATGGTGGTGTGCTGTTGTATGATGTCCATTCCTGTACCATTTTGGGCATTCGCAGCAGCTGTGGGTCCCAGAAGAACAGCAGACGCAGGGGTAGGTCCATGTGGTACAGTTCAATGTCCTCATGTAGCTTGCCAATTCTCAAAGGTTCCAGGAGCTCATGCACACTTCGCCACTTACCCTTTTGGGATAGGATGCAAATTTTCGGGATAAGTTGAACGAGCATCTTACAGAATACGTACTTTATTAAGTAATAGTATCAATGAATGTCATTTATATGGAAAGAATAGTAAATTTATGTTTGGTGTATGTAATCATGCATGTAAGTGCTAAAAAATAAGCAGAAATATTCTCTGAAAGATTAAGGAGCCATGGAAATTTGATCTAGAAAAAGAAGTGAACCAAGGAGCGTTTGAACCTTCCGAAGTAGTGTGATAATCTTGTGATTGAAGCCTTTCTTACCCGGGTCGAAGGCTTCTTGTACTTCAGCCTAGGACTGCTGAGGCGTGTCACGAGGGCGCTGAAGATCTGGCGCATCCGGGAATCGCCTGCCACCACCCACGCCCATCCCGGGAAGCTCTGTTGAGGAGCGCCCGACCCGCCGTGCACCATCGCGTTGGGTTTGAAGCGCACCAAGTACTCGTTGGGGCTGTGGAAGTGGGGACTGGCGCTGGGTGGGCGAGAGGAAGGAATTGAGGTGGAAGGTAAAAGTTAGGATCGAGGTAATTTGGGGGGGAGGCAGTGATTATTTTTTGTTAATTTGTGTGTCTTGTAATTTTCTATTTCATCGTCATCACCATCAGTCAGTTTTGTACAGGGACCGGGGAGACGTTTTGACATGGGGCATGAATTGAAAATATAAAAGTTGTATATATTAGGAACTATTATATGTATAGCTGGGAGCCATAATTCGATTGGCAGATCAATTGCTTATTGTAGTGAATTTAATAGTAGGTGGGTGTACTGAACGTAACCATGGTTCCTGAAACACACATGTTACCTTTGCATGAGCGAAAAAGCGGCGGCGGCATTCTTGACGCAGGCGGCCGCGTCGCCCCTTGTGTAGTTGAGCATGCGGCAGCAGGTGTTCCCCAGACGGGCTCCCTTGTTGCTTTGGGCGTAGCAGGCGCGGGTGAGGGCTGGGTGGGCGGCGCGAGGGCGGTTGAGTACTGTCACGTGCACGGCTACCACGAGCCATAACAAGAGGAGCCCATACCAGACCCTGTGGCCACCGTACCACGCCTGCGGCCGCACGCACACCCGCGCTCGCGCCCTCGTCACCGTATGCCGCGCCGCGTGGAGCATCCTCCGAGTGCGCCGGTCAGGAGGCGGCAGAGAGGTAGGCCTGTGCGACTTGCTGGAGGCGCCTCCCCTTCGGTTTCTACATGGTGTGACTTCACTTTTGCGGGGAACGGGTCAGTTGATGCAGGGGATCGGAAACCTGTCGAAGAGGAAGTTATAATTTTCATTATTATTATTATTACCATTATCATTTTCTGTACTACTTTTACATTTGTCGCATCCTGATCTCTGCTGTTACCTTATTTTTAATTTACTATGGAATTTGGGATGGAAATGTGCGCTTATCCAAACTGGCCGTCTTTAGAGAGAGAGAGAGTGAGAGAGAGAGAGAGAGGGAGGGAGGGAGGGAGGGAGGGAGGGAGGGAG